GAAATTTTGTCGCTTAATAAAATCCCTTTACGGGTTAAAGCAAGCTCCAAAGCAATGGCATGAGAAATTTGACAAAGTTATGTTGTCAAATGGATTTCGAATTAATGAATGTGACAAATGTGTCTATGTTCAAATACTGAAAAATGTTTTGCCATTGTCTGTCTTTATATAGACGACATGTTAATCATGGGTAGTAATAATCAAATGATTAATGCTACTAAACAATTACTTAAAAGTAAGTTTGATATGAAAGATATGGGGATAGTAGACGTTATCCTAGGTATTAAAATCCATAGAACATCTACAGGGTTGGCCTTATCACAGGCTCACTATATAGCTAAGGTTCTTGAGAAATTCAAGAGTTTGAATATAACTCCTGTGAGGAACCCTGTAGATTCTAATCTGAGTTTATTAACGAACACTGGTAAAGCTACAGCACAAAAGCTATATGCTCAAGTGTTGGGAAGCCTTATGTATGTTATGAACTGCAGCAGACCTGATATTGCTTATGCAGTAAGTCTGTTAAGTCGCTTTACCAGTAATCCAAATGAGAATCATTGGAAAGTTATGGTAAGAGTTTTGGGATACTTGAAGTATACTCAGAATTATGCTTTGCATTACGAGAAATACCCCGCGGTTATAGAAGGGTATTGTGATGCAAATTGGATCACCGGCTCTAACGACACTAGATCCACAAGTGGATATGTGTTCACCCTTGCTGGAGGTGCTGTGTCTTGGAAATCGTCCAAGCAAACCTGCATTGCAAGGTCAACCATGGAAGCAGAATTTATTGCTTTAGATAAGGCCGGTGAAGAAGTCGAATGGCTTCGTAATTTTATTGAGGATGTTCCTAATTGGCCAAGACCGGTACCATCCGTATGCATACATTGTGATAGCCAAACAGCTATTGGAAGGGCCAAGAACGTCATGTATGACGGTAAGTCTAGACACATACGTCGTAGACATGATACCGTAAGACAACTACTCTCGAATGGAATCATTTCAATTGATTATGTTAAGTCTAAGGAGAACATAGCGGATCCGTTAACCAAAGGGATTCCTAGAGAGTTGGTTGAAAATTTGTCGAAAGGAATGGGTTTAAGGCCTATCAATTGTTGAGCATTGCGGTAACTCTACCTAGAAGAGTGGAGATCCCATGAACTAGGTTCAAAGAGACAACTAAGTGATGTTCGACTGTTCAAACACTGTGGAGTTTTTAAACTCATACTCATTCCTAAGACATGACAGTGTATTTATGAGGGTAAGCACTTAGGCTTTTAATGATTTCTTAATATGTTGTGTTCAGATGATGTATAGTGAGTTACATCACAAGAAATCACCTATGGGAGTGTGAAGTGAGGGCAGCTTCTATGAGAATTTTTCAAAGGCCGATTCTCTAAAACACTCGCAGAACCAGGCAGGTGTCCCACGGCCAAAATGGGCGCAACAAAGGACCAACAATGCTAGAGAAGCAATTGTGTGACTCCTATTGTCTAGGTATACACTAAAGGTTGACGGTTCAAGTCGACCTAGACCACCGATTGACCGAGTATATCCGATAGGTTTTCACTAGAGAAGGTTCAAAGGTAACTCCACCTGTCTCGATGCAGTTGTTTCTCGTTGAGGAAATTACACTTTGTATTTATACTCTTGTGCATTTTTTGTCACGATGATTTGACTTCTTATCCATGTGGGGGATTGTTGGAATTTATATATATATATATATATATATATATATATATATATAAATTGTGTAGACACTCTATTGGTTATGAATAAGAAGTTTGGTAATGAAAGGGTGTGTCTTTTCGTCGACAAACAGATGTATCTTTTCATCCTAAAGGATGTGTTGTTTCATCTGAACGGATGTGTTGTTTCATCCGAGCAGATGTGTTGTTTCATCCTAATGGATGTGTTGTTTCATCCTAACGGACATATTGTTTCATCCTTGAATGGGTGCCTTTTCGTGTTGAACGAATGTGTCTTTTCGTGTCCAACGGATGTGTTGTTTCGTCGTCGAATAGGTGCCTTTTGAAACGTGACCGGTCAGTGTCTATAAATAGACACTGACACCTTCATAAAATGGATCCAATTTTTCTGCACTGAAACTCTGCCGGAATTTTTCTCCTTCCGGTTTTGCATGTTCCTTTTCATACTCCGGTGTAGTTTCCTCTGGCATTTTGTTGTGTTCGTTTGGGTTGTTGACTGGTAGTGCCGCCACTCTTCAGACGAAATCTGTTCTATCCTGGGAGACAAGTGTCCATCTACCTTAGGCATCAGTGAGGGGGCAAATTGTCTTAAGGAGACACGTTCTGTAGGCTCGGATTTTATCCTTCTGATTTTGCATATCTGATTCATCATTCTGTCTTTCCCTAATACCTGACAAGTAAGTCTGTTTTTTAATTGTTTATAATAGCACAATGATAATTCTGATCATCTACCTCCTCCTCTGCTTTATACATGGGTTCAAACCTCTTAGTGATTTAACATCACCCACTGTCTTCAATAACAGTTGTGAACGAAAAACATTCTGCTCAAGTTGGGTCACCAACAAGAAAAATATGTGTTAAAATGTGCAATCAAAGTGCAATACACTTGGCAAAAAATTTATCTATCACTTTGGCTCAAAGCATATTGACATCTGTTACCTTTGAATCCAAGATGTGATTAAGGGAGAATCATTTACCAGTTGACAAAGTTTATACGAACTTTAACTAGTCGGATATAATGACCAATGTCGTTTCGATGAAGAAGTTTGAAGATTGGTGTGAAGGAGTCGGTGTGGTAATTCCCTATAATTAAGTCAAAAAAGGGAAGATTTTTTGGAGTTATTTCTTCTTAATTAGATACTTCATTAGACTGTGAACGGTTAACATCTTCTGAAGTTCTTGTGCATAGGAAAAATGAAAAGACTTCGTAGAAAATTAAAAGGTTTCTTTGAAATCCTACGCATAAAATGGAGAAGAATTTAGAACATGAAAGATAGCTCTCCAAGTCATCTATATAAATAGGAGAGAAAGAGAAAGCTTGAAGCGCTAAATAAAAGAACAAGTAATCCTCAAGCAATTAAAAGAATGACTATGTGTAATCCATCCTTCTCAATAGCGGAGCTAGGAATTTTTATGAGAAGGGCAAAGGAAACAAAATTTACAATAACTTGGACAAGGTGACACGGCAGTAGATCAATACATAGCCACATTTGAAAAATTCTCTAACTTTTTGGTGTACATAAGGAATAATAAGGACGAAATCTCAGAGGTTGACTCTCCTAACCCTTCCATGCCTCCACCATCGATCTTTTTATTAGGTGAGGAAATGAAAGTAAACCTCTAAGTCTTATACCAGAGAAAAATATCATTTGCAATTTTATTTTTTATAGTCGACGTTTTTTCTCTAACACATACACACTTCATCTTTCATTTACGGAAATTTTTCCTAAATACTAACTCAATGTGTAGAAATGCTACGAAAATATGGTATAATGAATTCATTCATATATTATAAATGCAACGGAAGAAGAAGTAAGAAGTTGTCTTAACAAAAATAATTACAGAATAGCATAGACATTTTATTTAGTGGCAACTCGGAAATCCAGATCCTCCTTCAGATGTTTAACATTTGCTTGTAATTTGATAGAATCATGTTGTTTCTTCGTTAGTTCTCTTTTATACTGGTCTCACTGAAAAAATCTAGTAAGACTAAAAAAACCTTCTTTCTTTCTTTTTTGGATAAAATAAATAAATAAAAAATAATATTTTTAGTAGTTCAAAAAAATTAAAAAAACCTTCTTTCTTTATACTAGTTAAAATGTCTTGTCTTAATTTCACGCCATATTTTTACTTTTCTTTCAAATCAAAACATTAAAAATAATATTTGATTGACGCATTAAATCGTGTTTTCTAAAGATGTCTTACGGTTTAAATAAAATAAAATCATCTAAATATTCGTGAGCACAATAAAGAAAGATTGGAAAAAGTATTTGACTCGGCCGAAGTGTTGAAATCACTAATGTATGTTTATAACATTTTGCTTGTATAATACATTAATTTCATATAAAAATAATTTAAACCAATTTAAGGTATTAGTTAATTATTTACTACTTAAAATGAAATTTATAAACATGTATTTTTTGAAGGAAAAAAATTAATATGGCAGATGTTGATTTTTGTAATAAATCCAGTTTTTAAATATTAATGTCACTATATTAATTTTTTAAATATTTTTATTCCAAAGTAATCCCGCAAACATTAGTGCGCATCATATTAATATTTTAAAAATTAGTTTGTCAAAAAATTAATCTTTCATAAATCTAAAACTTCATCATATTTATTTTTAGAAAGGATTAAAATACTAACAAATTCAGTAATTATTTTATATTTTTGATATCCTAATTTTACGACAACTTTTTTAAAAACTAATAATAATATGATAGCACTTAACTTTTTATTATTATAAATTATTCGGTATCTAATTGCGAATAACATTAACTAATCCAAATTCAAATCGGATATAACAAAACTCTCACTATCAAATTTATATTATTAAGTTGGAACAAGCTGATATGTTGATTCACGTGGCAGAGGCAGCACCTAACTTTTAAGACAACTAACACACCCGTTTCTTCTTTTTCTTATTTTTTATTTTTTTGGGGCTAATTATAAGATTTATTTATTTATTTTATTAGCAATTTGATGGTGCCACGTTCCCACGCAAATTGTGATGTACCATGGCACAATCGATGTCAATTCACGTATCCAGGGAAGCTGTGATATTTATTTGAGTTGTGGACGATGGATCAAAAGTGCAGTAATTTCGCAATCTTCGATGGGTCATTTCCATTTGCCCATTTGTGGGGAACTCGTATTTAACACTGAAAATTAAAGCTCACACCCAAACCCAATCCAATTGGGTAGTTGAACAATTGAACTCACGTCAAATACAAGCCACCAATGTCACCCAAACTGTATGAGCATTCAATAGGTATTAAAAAAAGAAAAAAGAAAAAGAAAAAGAAATCCATCTTAGTCAATGTTATTAATATATGGTATATCTCAATGCTCAACGAGGTGTGTGAGCAAAGGAACATTGGTGTTGCTGAGGCAGAGACAAATATCAAGGACGATTGGTTCAAAGGAATGGAACCAGTGAGTTCTGAGTCTCAGAAATCAACTTTAGATTCCAAACATGAATTGGCTAAATCAGAAGCAAAAGCACAAGTGGTTCTTGATGACAGTTCAGAGACAGAGCTCACCAAAATCCGTCTCATGAGATCCTTTGTTGAAAGCCAAGATCCCTCTTCTAAGGTACAAACATCATCGTAAACTTGCCACGTTTTGTAACAACAACTTGTGTCATGTCTTTGTAGTTTGTACCTCCTTTTTCTCTTTCTATTAAAGTGATGGATTTTGGTGTCTCTTGTTGGCAAGTGGCAACTATTCATACCCGCTTGGATCTGTGTCACTCAGGCATATTTCCATGTCCTACCCACCACATAACAGATAATTAGATTAGGAAATATGATACAGTTCATTAGATTAAGCAGAATGGAAAACCCAAAATTTGACCTTTTCTTAACTCTTGTGATTAAAATGCAAAATTTTATGATGCCCAAGTTGTTTGTTCACCACATCACTGATTAGGAAGCAAGTGGTTGAAATTTGAGTTGACCCTTTGTGGGCAGGATGTAGATGATTTGATGATTAGAAGATTCTTGCGCGCTCGTGATTTGGATGTAGATAAGGCTTCGGCAATGTTCCTCAAGTACTTGAAATGGAGACATTCGTTTGTTCCAAATGGTTCCATATCCCCGTCTGAGATTCCTGATGAACTTGCACATGGCAAGATGTTCGTGCAAGGACATGATAAGAAGGGTCGACCTATAACTGTTGCCTTTGCTGCAAAACATTTTCAAAACAAAGATGGTGATGCATTCAAACGTATGTGTTTCACTTGAGATGCCATTACATTTGAAGTCCTCTTATGTTATGTACTTATGTTTCAAGTTACATAATGACTAATGTTTTTTTTTTTTGTGTGTGTGTACAGGGTATGTGGTCTTTGCTCTTGAGAAACTATGTTCAAGGTAAACCCCTTTTCCTATATTAATTCATGACCACATGTGCATACACAAACGAAAATATGATGCATAACCTACCTTTAGAACTGTGAATTCAGTTATTAGAGGATTGTAACATACCCATTGAATGTGTCAGGATGCCACCGGGGCAAGAAAAGTTTCTTGCTATTGCTGATATTAAGGGATGGGGATACGCAAATAGTGACCTTCGTGGATACCTTAATGCTTTAGCCATTTTGCAGGTATAGGTCTTCCTTCATTCTTTAACCATTTCTTTCGTGTGTTCTTAAATAGTAGTAGTCATCTTGTGCATAAGTTTGTGTGTGCAGTTGGTAACTTGAAACATCCAAACCTCGTGAGTGTTTTTTGAATGCAGGATTACTACCCAGAGAGATTGGGGAAGTTGTTTATTGTCCACGCACCTTCCTTGTTTATGAAAGTATGGAAAATTGTTAACACTTTCATTGACAGCAATACCAAGAAGAAGGTGACACTTCAAATTTGTAACTTGATGCATAATGCATGTGTTTGAGATGTTGTAGGAACATATTTTGAATGTTGCACTTCCTTGCAGATATTATTCGTGGAGAACAAAAAGCTGAAATCAACCTTGTTGGAAGATATAGATGAGAGTCAGATCCCAGAGATATACGGAGGAAAAATGCCATTAGTCCCAATCCAAGATTCCTGATTAAGTAATCACATGCGAACGAAATAAGGAAGGGCCAACACATAATAATTTATTTTTTATCAAAAAAAAAAAAAAAAACTTATTTTTATGTGTTTGGTTTCCAATTTATTTTTCTTCAAATAATTTCAACTGCTGTATCAGCTGTTAAATACAGATTGGAGATCTATATTTGGTCAGATATCTTAGCAGATTCAATTAACCTTGATTATGCTTTGCTTAAATTGCAGCATCAAATTATCAGTTACATGTCAGAGAAAGTTTTTTTTTTTTTTCAAGACTAAAGCATAACATTTGTCAATGACAATTCATATCTAATAAGAGGAATAATTCGTTTATAATTTTTTTTTTTACAAATTACATTAAGTATGATTGGTTATACGTTCTTGATTGAAGTATGATCAGTCATATTTAGTGTAATTTATAAGAATTTATAAATAAAAAATTTGTAAATAAAAAAGTATGTAAATATATTATTCCCATTTAATAATTAGGAATGTATTTTGTGTCATAGGATGTAAGCTTGCATCTAAGAGAAAAAGAATGCTGTTTGAGGAGCTGATAATTTAGAATGAAAATTACATTACACTTACTTGGTATAGTAAACGAAACTTTAACAGTAGATTACAACTTCTATCCCATTATATTGGGCCACTCCTATAGTATGAAAGCAGTAAAAGTAAATTTTTCCCCATGTGTGAAACAACTATGAATGAAAGTCTAAACATTTTCATCTTGCTCTGTTTTCACTTTTCAGTCCTCTCCCAATTTTATGCTTCTTTTCACTTTAGAAAAATCGTTAATTTTTTATTCACTAAAAAATCTAGATTTACAGGAAGAAAATTCTTACTCAATTAAATTTGCTTTCAATACAACCATTTAATTACCCAAAATTTTAAATGAATAGTGACAGATCACAGAGAAGATAGGGCTTGGTACCATGGCAGAATCAGAACTGTCAATTTCAGCGTTAGTGACAAAAATTTGTATGCATTGGAAATCGAGGAATGATATCCTATCTTCCAGGATACCTTGATAATTTGAATGCATTGGAAATCGAGGAATGATATCGTAAGGAAAAATTATCTTCATTTTAAAGGATGTAAAGTTGTATTATTTTAAGAGATAGATAAAAGAGGAGAAAAAGTTGTCAAAAAAAAATAAAGATATGAATCTCATCTCTTTGTGAGAGTGAAAGAATATAAATTATGTCAATTAAAAAGATAAACGTTTTTCCCATATCCTAAACCCGCAATCAAATGAATTTATATATCGTTTATTTTTATGGGGTGATTATACTTATTATTAAAAAGTTCTATAATTTTTATTATTAAATTAATTATCGGCTTTATTTCTCTCATGTTGTAGGAGAGAAGTTATCTAATGTTGTGAGATAAATTAAGTGGGGCTCACTAATTTTTTTTTTTTAAAAAAGTGAGGCATATCTTTTTATGTGAGTGTAACATGAAAGATGAATCTTTTTTTTTTTTTTTTGATAACAGAAAGATGAATCTTATGTAACATAAGAGTATAATTTTTCATTAATTATTATTGATTTCCATAAATACTTTATTAAAAATGAATAATTAATAGGTGTATATAATAAATTATAATTATTAAATTGACAGAAATCAGCGGTGATTAATTTAGTAATAAGAGTTGTAAAAAATTTTAGTAGTAAGTATAATATCTCCCTATTTTTATTATGTTTTTGTTATAATAATTTTGAAATATTATACTCTTATGTTACATAATAATTTTGGAAAATTATATTCTTATGTTACATAATATTCATATTACATTTATATAAAAAGATATACTTCTCTTTTTTTAAAAATAAAATAAAATTGATGGATCCCACTTTATTTGTCTAACAACATAAGATAATTTCTCTCCTACCATTTACCATATTCTTAATTCATTTTTTATAATAATTATTGAAAGAATAAATTACACTTTTCATTTTTCAAAAATGTTTAAAGGATATCTTTTAATTTTAAAATATCATGCTCTCTTTTTTTAAGAATTTAATATATGTAATACTTTAATGAGAATAAACATACAATTTTTCTCTTTATTACTCTTAATTGTGTTGAAAAGTAGTTTTAAATTAATATTATTATTAAAATTCAAATTTTAGAAGTTAAAATACAAAATGTAGATAAAATATCAGTCAAACTGGAATATTTCAAAGTTTATTTCATCTTTTAAAGCTTGAAAATAAACAATAAACTTGTTTAAAAAACACGATATAATTTTTAAGGTTTAACTAAGATCAAGCCAGGGTTTCTAATGTGTGTGTGTAAAATATAATATACATATGCTAGGTGTAAATAAAACAAAAAAAGTATTAAAATGTATTTCTAACATTGTTAAATTGATTTATCGGATAAATAAGTATCAAATAAACTTGTTCCACATTGAATATACAAATAGAAAAAGATAAAACTTATTCTATACTAGTTCCAAATTAAATAAGGGTATTCATTACAAAAAATAAAATAAAAGAGTAAAGACCCAAATTGGTCCCTGACAAAAAATGTTGTGGCCAAATTAGTCCCTCACAAAAATAAACTCGTTGGATAGTCCCCAACAATGTGAAATAGGACCTACGTTATTCCTTCTATCAATCCAAAAGTGACGGTGTGAATGACGATGATGATGTGTCACGTTAAGTGACATGCTGAAGGCCACGTGGATATAAAGGAACGACGTCGTTTTAAGAGTCTCATACACCTTGGACAGACCATTTTTTGTTAAACCCAAAATTGTCCCTAACCTAACCGGTGGACACTTTACCTAATGACATTATCCTCTTCACTGTCATGTGTAGGTGAAGCAAACTCGGGAATTGAGATGCAGTCCTCAAAGTAGACATGTATCTCATTGCCATTCCCTAAAGCAGCCTCACACATGGCACACACATCTGAATCTGTACTAAGAGGTCTGAGCCCTTGTTCCAAATCGGGTACCCCAAGTTGTAGCCACATCATCCTCTTGCATTTTTCATACCCATATTGCTTAAACAGCGTGTCAAGGTCACGGATATTGCAGTAATCAATGTCCATCTCTGGCAATGAGTCCACCCTTCCATTTATATAGGTCATCACTCCATCTTCATCTCTGACTAAAATACCGCCGAGATGATAAACAATCACTATGTATTCGGACATCTGTCAAAACCAAAAAACCAAACCTATCATTAAACCAACGGCCACAGACTTTGAAAGGGTTAAACAATACAAAGCAATAAAAAAAGCAACATTTTTTATGGATGCTGACTTTTTTTCCAACGATTACCATGGGGTTTTTAAATGTTACTGGGTCAACCATGGCACTTTTTCAAAAACAGGGACCACACCACCTGGTAGTTACTTTCTTTAACACAAAACCCTAAATGGAAACATGGACCACAATGTCCACTTCATGCAGAAAAAAAACAAGCATTAAACAAAGGGGAACAACATGGGGACCACAATCAAAAGGATGACAAAGAACAATATAAAAATGTTTCAACAAATAAATACTCTTACCTTTTTGTACGGTAGGCTCAGCCTCACAAAAAACCCAACTTCTCTTTGTCTTCCACCGGTTCCCTTCGATTGTTGAAGAAGTTCGTAGTATTCCAAACGTGTTGTTCCCAGTTTTTACTCCACAGTCCTCTTCCTTCTCAACAATGGAGCGTCGAAGTTAGAAGAGAAGGAAAAGGTAAAGTGTCCAACGGTTAGGTGAGGGACAATTTTGGGTTTAACAAAAAATGCTCTGTCCAAGATGTATGAGACTCTCAAAACGACGTCGTTCCTTCATATCCACGTGGCCTTCAGCATGTCAATTAACGTGACACATCATCACTGTCATTCACACCGTCACTTTTGGATTGACAGAAGGACTAACGTGGGTCCTGTTTCACAATGTTGGGGACTATCCAACGAGTTTATTTTTGTGAGGGACTAATTTGGCCACCGCATTTTTTGTCAGGGACCAATTTGGGTTTTTACTCAAAATAAAAAATAAGGGTATTGATTTCTTTATGTTACACGAGAAGATTTGTAATAAGAGAAATCAATACCTCATTAAATAAAGGGGGAAGAGGTGAAGATTCTTATTATAAATAGAAGTCAAAATCTTGTTCCATTAGAAACTTGTATTTATCTTATATTAAACGAATTAAGAGAAGGATAAGCTTTGATTAATTGTGAACCAAATAATCAGTGTAATGTAAAAGTTTTTAAAAGAATTCTATAAATAAATTATCTTGATCAGTTCAAATGGTTCAATAGGTTTAAGTTTGATTTTTCGATTTTTTTTACTAATTTTTGAAAATCCAATTTTTGAGAGTTGACTAGACTAGTTCGAGGACCAATTTTTGATTTTTCTGACTCGGTCAAATTCTAAAGATATGGTAAAAGTAGCTGTGGCTTTTTTTTGTATTGACATCATCATTTTTTTTAAGGAAAAAGGAAGTATCAACAATTTCCAGAATATTTTTATATAGTCACTAAACAGTTTTTGATTTTATTTTTGTTTTTTTTTTAAAATTTTAGTTTAAAAGTAATTTTTAAATTAAAAATATGTCTCAATATTAGATTGGTTTGAACAAGTAAATATGGGATTAAAAAAATGTTTTTTTTTTTGAAATAAGAGAAAATAAAGGCTAGCTACAAACTCTAAGACTACCGAGACCCATTTCGTCCATATGAAGGAGAGACATACATCCCTCAAGGGGTTATTCCATGATACATAAGTTTCAATCTTCACGATCATGTGTGAACCCTGCAAGCCAATTCACTACCATGTTGCCTTCTCAAAAGGTACGAGATAAATTGGTTGTCCAAGCGCCAGTTAAACATCTTCTAATTCTAGAAATAAGGGAAGCTAATGGATGTTGGGCAATACAACCAGACAGAACAAGTTGAAATGCGACTAGACAATCACTTTCCATCCACACATGTTTACATCCAGCATTCCACGCAGTCTTAGCACCATGAACTAAACCCCAAAGCTCTGCTCTCAGAGTTGATCCACTCCCAGTGTTTCTATGGAATCCCATAATCCAATTACCAATTTCATCCCTGATGACTCCACCACAGCTAGACTTCGATCCTCCATGTATGTTAGAGACATCAACATTAACTTTGACCCCACCATGAGGAGGAACCTTCCAAGTAATAATCTGCTCCACTCTTTCGTCCCTT